AAGTCTACTTAAAGCAAATCTAAATGTCTTCAGCTGCTTTTTTTTTTTTAAGTCAAGGAAACATAAAGATGGAAGCAACTGATTCCACACCCTGGGGGACACCACTCCAGACCTGTCTCCCTGGGTCTTAGTTGGTGGTCCTAAGATCTCAGACTGTCACGGTGCGGAACTTTAAAGGAGCCAGATCATGCTACTTTCAACCTTTGAGAACAAAAGTAGGCACAGTATGACAAAATATGACCATTGGCACTACTGAAATGTCATTTTATCTTAAATATAAGTTATTTTAATCAGCCTGAATTTGTACCCGGAAATGAAACGGCTAGTTTCAGTGAAACTCCACCCACGCCCACTCTGACAAAACACTCCTACAACAGCATCGTAGGCAAGTAAACTGTTGTATTGGGATTGGTAATCCAGTGGTTAATGCATCTGCCTTTCATCTCGTTTTGCCGTGGACCGACGCCAGTTTAACGCCCTGTTATAGCCAAATGAAGCAGATTTCATCTTTTTTATATTTCAGGGTTTTTTTTCTGCTAATCATTTTGTGTCTTGTTTCTTGTCCTGTTCAAACATGTTTGAATTTGGTCCTTTCCAAGCAACATTTATTTGATTTACTCTGCTCACCTCACATGGGCTCACACTGGCTAAATAAGCAAAGATTAGTCCTCACTCTTTAAACAGTTTACCAATAAAGGTTGAAAACATTAAGCTAGCAAGGGCAGTTAGCAAAAGAAGGAAAAAGTTACGGCTCGGACCAGGATGCAAACCTGCACAAAACTACCTGCCAGTCTGGTACTATAACCACTAGACTATCAAGTCTGTTACAAGTAAGTCTGTCCTTAGTAATGCATTACTTATTGTTAACATTATTATTAAGCAGTTGTTAATACTTTATTAATGCTTCATCAAATGCACTAAAGAGAGTAGATAAAGTTAAAGTCCCATTGGTCATCGTCACACACTGTGGAAATCTCCGGATTAGACCCATCCCGGTAGGGAGTGAGCGAATGAGCTACAGCAATGGCTGCGCTCAGGAACTATATTTAATGATTTAAGCCCCCAACCCAACCCCTAATGCTGATTGTGAAGCGGGGAGGTTGGTGTGTGGTATGACCCGACCGTGGATTTGAACCCACGATCTCCTAGTGTCGGTGTGGTTTTAGCATGTTCACACTATGCATGTGTACACTTTTCTCTGAGTACTCTGGCTTCTTCCAGTAGACCAAAACATGCATGCTAGGGTAGTGGAGACTTGGCCGTGTCAGTGAGTGTGTGCTTTTCTTTTTTAAGTTTGTCTTTGTGTGTTCCAGTGATGAACTTCAGAACTTTCAGGGGCATCCCCACCTCTCGCCCAATGACTCCTGAAATGAAACACCAGCTCTTTTAGTCCCTAGTGCGGATGAAGCAGTTCAAATGATGTGCAGGCAGGTGGGTGGATGGTCTCCTGGCTACACTGAAGCTACAGAATTAACTTCACTTATATTTTATATACATTTGCAGGGGTCTCTATAGTTGAAATTAATGCGTTGTAAGTCATACTCTGGGGGAAAAAAGCTCTGGTGCATCTGTTTCAGGAACAAGAAGTGAACCAGCTCAGACTTGAGCTTCAGACGGCAGGATTTGGACCCCTGTTTCCTGATATTTGGAAATCTCACTTTTGATTGGCTAACAGCAACATGACTCTATCACTGACTCCGTTTGCTCTGCAACATTGATATTTTATCAACACTGTAGCGTCATGAATGTCATGTTTTTGACCTAAAGGTCATGAACTGCTGCGTCTGCTCGAGCAGAGATATTTTGTCACTGACAGGCTAATCTACATGAGATAGTGGCCAAGGTCTTTCATGCACTCTGCTCATCTGAACTGCTTCACCTCTGTTACAGCTCAAGACGAAGACAAAGAACTCTCTTTTGATAAATACATAAGCAAACAACTTTGTTTTTACCAATAATAATGTGAGCCCGATGTTCAATCAATCTGTGAAATGACAATGTTATTACTTGATATTATAATCCTGTGATCAGTAGTATTTTACAAGTAATTATGATGCTGGACATTTGCACTACACACTGAGGACACGTAATGCTAAAGTCACACGACACATTTCCTTTTGTCTGATCCAATCAGAACCTTCGTTTCTGGCGCGAGGTGTGATTTTCTGTGGTGTTTGTATAAACCATCTTTTGCATGTCAAATTCTGATTCGCCAGTAAACCAAAATATGAAAATTATAAAAACTATTCCACGCCACCTTTTCTTTAGTTCAAAGCGTTCTAGAGAGGTCTCGGACAGGCCATCTGGACTTCCTCTTCAGCCAAAAGAACCTCGACAAGCTGGATAAAATCTGTTGCAAGTTACACCTGACCGCAGCGGTTCCTTCAGAATAAAATCTGAACCTCACGACCCCTTCAGGGTCTCGCTGACGCCAATGAACCTGTCGTGACCTGGAAGCATTCCAAGACTAGTTTGGTCGGCACCGCTGCTTTTCTACCGGCTTCGGTTCCAAGGAGAGTCCAAGAGGACCTCGACATTCTGGATCTAACAGAGGCTTCCCCTGGGGTACGTAGACCGACAGATGGCTTTTCATGTGTTATAAATCTCCTACTAAAGTTTAGAGCGAAACATTCCCTCCCACTCAGAACTAAATGCTTCTCCGGATCCTAAGGTTCTGATAATAACATTCCACACGTACACCATCCTCTCACGTCTCACTCCACCTTAGTCCATCAGTACACAGTGTTTAAGTTAGTCTTATTTAAATTGTGTAGAAATAAATTTCTTAACTATTATAAACCTGACTCTCTCTCTCTTTCCTCTGAGTTAATACGAAGTGTCAAGTAATCCCTGCAATAAAAAGTTCTGATCTTCTTGTTAAAATATTCAAAGATCCATCAGAATGATATTTCATATTTCTATGGAATCTCACATTTTATGGTTCATAAGTAAGATGTAAACTACTCATCCTTTACACTGTCAAAGACAATTCCTGTTGGAAGCAAGCTAGAATTTCGACAAAATGTTTTCAAGTTTTGTAACTGTAGACTAAGATTTGTGTTATGAAAGTTGTGATTTGAAACTTGTACACTGATTTTTTTCTGCAAGTTACAAAATAAAAGTTACATGTTACGTACAAAAGTCACATGTTGCAAAATAAGAATTACATGCTACAAAAGTAAACTTACCCGTTACAAAATGGAAAGTTATATGTTACAAAACAAAAGTTACGTGTTACAAAACAAAAGTCACAGTTACAAAACATGTAACAAGTTAAATGTAATGTTGTCCCAATCCTAGTTTCATATAGGGGATGCTAAAATCATGTAAAAACTGCCTTGTTCCCCTTTAACCATCATAAACTACCTGACAATGGAGCAAATCCCTTTAAGTACCAACAGTTGTAAGATCAACAAACAATGTGGAACAACATCAGAAGATCCCAGAATAAATAGACCATTCAGACCAAGCAAAGCTAAATAAAAGCTATAAGAGAAATCAGATGTTTGCTTCCATCAGCTGAACTGATTTCACACATCCATGTGAACGAATAAAGTTTGTCAGCATGCAAACTGTACTAAGTCACGTTGCACAGAAGTTAAAAGTCAGAGTGGGAAGCTAGCGGTGCACTGAGGTATGAGGTGGTTCCTCACTTCATGGAGCCACTCTGCGGCTTTGCTCTGTCAGAGCTCAACAAACTTCATTTGATCAACTTAAGTATGACTAACAGTTCCTGTAAGAAAGCGTGGCAGTTTTAAACCTGTCAGAACAAGAAAATACAGTGTGGAGATTTTATTTCCCTCCATCTGTGATGCTACATGTTCCTAGGTTATACAAACATGAGCTGTATGATTTCCTACACAACTGTCTGAGAACAATGTGAACATATGACTAATTTACATGTAAAGAAAGCATAACACCAGAAAAACTGACATAAAAACTGTCAATTCATTTTGGTCTTCTTCTTCTTCTTCTTCTTCTTCTTCTGCTTTTTAAAGTTCTCTTTCACTGAAAACAGTTTTTTAATTATTGTGTTGGATTATAATCCATCACTCAGAGTTTTTAATGCAGGCTAAACATAAAACAGTCTCCAACACCTCTCTCCTGCATTAGCTGTACACGGGGAAGGTTGTTGTTGGTTTAGCATCCAGAAAACAGAAGAGAAAGTCTCGGCTAGCAGAAGCAAAAGCTAACCGTTAGCATTAACAACTCCACCACCCAGCAGAACCCCTCCAGGCTTGTGTTATGTATGGAGATAGAGCATCAATGTTGCAGAGCATGCAGAGTCAGTGGTAGAGTCACATTGATGTTAGCAAATCAGAGGAGAGATGGTCAAATATCAGGAAACAAGACTCTAAATCCTGTCGTCTGAAGCCCTCCTCTGAAAATGGCTCACTTCTAGTTCCTCAAACACAAGCACCAGAACTTTATTTCCCAGAATACTACATACAAGGCACTTATTCTTGCTAGAGACCACAGAAAAGCCATTTTTAAAATCTTATTTCTGTTTATAACCAGTCACTCTGAGTTTTTCATGCAGGCTGTACATGAAGATAGTCTCCTACACCTATCTCCAGCGTTAGCTTCTGATAGAAAATAGACGGTGAAACTCAAGAATTAGAAAATGCGAACAGATCTACATCACACTGTCACTTAACATTCACAGACTCATCCACGAGCCATCCACCTGGATATTTACACTCGTTTTAGAAAGCAATAATAGTGACAGGCCTAGCATTGATTGTAAATTTAAGACATTATGACATAAATGATAAATTGATACAACAGCTAAAGACAAGGAAAACAACACACTTGCCAAAACACATTTAGTTGGAACTGATGTATTGTTAGCATTATAATATCCAGACACGATACCATAGATTCCATAAGTTTTGAATTTCTGATGTCAATAAAGCTCCACTCCATCCCCCCACCCAAAACAATAACACTGACAATGAATGCTCTTCAGCCACCAGTCTCAGCTTGTACATGAAGATTACCTTGCTCGGGATCCTCAGGTTCTCCACAGGACTCAGGTCTGCCATACTCTCTTGGGGACTTTTCAGACCCTGACACCAACAAAAACACCGATCAGAATCACGTCACAAACATCAAATAACCCTGTACCGTGATGTCACTCGCTCCCGTTGTCAGACAGCTTATTATTCTTAGCAAACAGCAGCATTTGGCAAAAAGTGGAACTGGCGGACAGATTTTTAAAAGCCGGGGTCCAATAAACCGGTGGGTCTAACCTTACTGCTCGTGCAAGCTGAGAACTTCCCTCACCGGCCAGTTCTCATTGTGCACAGTTATCTGATGCACACCTATTACAAAGCGCCTCCGTGCAAATAAAAAATGTACTTATACGCCAAACAAATGCGTCATAGCTGTGATGTAGCAGATAGAAGATTAAGTTTTCTCCTCATGACTGTGGCCGTTAAGGAGCAATACGATGAGCTGTCAAATTAGCTGTTAGCTTCATTAGCTATCATGCTACCTGCAGCTGTCAGACACAAACGGCCAGCTGGTCGCTTATTAAGAACCTGCCTTGCTCACCTGACGGGCCATAAGAGACTTTATCTTCTGCATCGTAAATCCTACTGGTGTGAAGGGGTAAATAAAAGGCTACAACTTTAATTTTTGCCTTGTTTTCAATAGTGACCCTCTGTCACTGCGAGAAGGAAGCCATAGTTGCCTGTCACGTGACAACAGGAACTAGGGAAAATTGTGAAGCATCATGGGAAGTGTGGTTTTACGTGTATGTTGCTTTTTCTTACCTGTTAAAACTTCTTATGGATAAAATTCAAAATTTACAGACAGAAAAAAATTATTTTATTAAACAAAGTCATGATTGCGGAATTAAACATTATTATACCACCTTAATTTGTGTAATACTGTTAAACACCACAGGATGGTGGTATAATAACAATCCTAAGGAGACCTAGGAGATGCCTGAGATGTCTGCTGACTTTTTGTGTTAAACACAATTATAACCTGAGTCGAATTAAATGAAAAATTGGTAGTTAAATTATTTAAAGTGATCCCTAATTTCTAAGAACTAAATCTGTGTGAGTACAAGCCACCATCGATATGTGAGAACTTTGGTCATTGTCCATCCATCCATCCATCCATCCATTATTTTACGCTTATCTGGGCTCACCTACCAACTCAGACTCACGTACCAAGAGCTCCTGTAGCCGAGGATCAGACCGCCAAGTTTCCCACCTTCAGCTACCATCCATCACACAATGCACCTGACTCTTTGCCCCCTCCCATGAGTGGTGCACCCATGGGAAGGGAGACCCACGTCTTTATTCGTCTTAGGGACAGGCTCCATAGTTGAAAGTCTGGCCACCAGGCGCTCGCCAATGTAACGTGATGAAGAAGCTATTCCTCCAAGGTTATTTAACCTCTATCCACAGTTGCCTTTGACACAGCGCCAGGGTGCATGAGACAGCCTCAAGGTCATGCATTTGCTTCTAAACTGTTTACTTTCCAGCAAAAGAAGACAGAAAATGAAGAGACTCTTTTCTTTTATTAAATCAAAGAACTCTATTTTTAATAAAGCTAATCAAAACAACTATTAGTCAATAATACAATGTGACCGATCTGTGAAATCACAATGTCATGATTAATATGTTTTTAAGAAGTAATATGACTTATTCTAGTTCACTAGACACACTGACACACGTAAGGTAAACAACCGCATGACACATTGTTGTTGCTGATCCAATCAGAACCTTCCTAGTCTGAAGCATGGCATAGTCTCTGTGGTGTTTATAAATCTGCCAGCTTTGATTCGACCAGAATTCAAAACATCCAGATTAATAAAACAGTTCCAACGCCATCTTAAGTTCAGTTCTCAAGATCTCACTGAGTTCAACGCATGCTAAGCGGAGTATTGGACCGGCCATCTGTACTTCACTTTTTAAGCTGAAAACCACCAAGCTGGGAAAAATCTGTTGTTTTTACCAACCAAGCAACGGTTCCTTTCAGAATAAAAGCTGAACTCGCTGACCCAAGGAGGGTCCCCTTTTGAAGCAGTGAAACCACCTGTCGCTTTTTACCTGGAGACTATCCAAAGACTGGTTTGTCGTACTGTCGACGCTGTTTCATCGGCTCCGGTACCAGAGGAGGGTCTGTGGACCTGGCATCCGGATCCAGACGGAGGTCTCATTCCAAGGGTATGTGGATGCGACAAAATGGCGTCTCATGTGTTTATGACTACCCTGGTGAAACTCTGATCATTTAGGAGCAAAACATCATCTCCCACTCAGACTTAGCCTCTACGGATATGAGAGTTCTGAATGACACTCATTCACATACACCAACCATCTCACACCTCATTTAAGCAGAACATCCATCATTAGGGAGTTTGTATTGTTTAAATTGTTTAAAATTATTTAGTAATAAATCATCTTAAACGTTTGAAGGTCTCTCTCTCTTCTCTTGTCTCTCAGTTTATACAAAGTGTTATCTAAATCCCTGCATTAAAAAGTTCCAATCTTCTGATTTAAATAGCCCAGTGTCCATAAGATGGATTTGCATGCCTCACCCTCAGACCTAGCTCCAGATGGGGGACCCGGTGACCTGCGTCCAGGCGGGAGAACACTGCTTACATTTATGTTTTTCTTCGTAAGGGATCTGTGGGATGCACTTTGTCTGATCCCTCACCAAGGGCCTGTTTGCCATGGGTAACCCTACCAGAGGCATGAAGCCTCGCCCCTCCTTTCCACCGGAGCCGTGATGGAGCCGTCAGCAGCACGTTACTGCAGCAGCACGTCAAAGCTGCTGATAGGAACCGCTGTGGTCAACAGAACCTTTTCCACCGGAGCCGTCAGCAGCGCGAGTTGGCCACGTCTCAGGAGCAGCATGTCGCGGCCCTTACGCGCCGGTTCTATACGCGCTATGCATCTGAAATGGGTCAAGTTCAACATTTTTGGGGAAGAAAAGACAGGAAATCGGACGCGGAAATGGAGCAAAGCTTCCCAAGATTTTCAGAATAAAGAAACGTACTGCCTTCCGGTTGCTTTACTTTTAAAAAAAGTTATCACCTAGCTAGCGGTCTCCTTAGTTTTTCCATAATGGACGATGAAAGGTTGATTACTTAAGTGATTAATTTTCTTTATTATTATTATTTTTTAACAGGTTTTATTAACTTGTCAATTCATTCAGAAAATACATTCAATATATCCATGGATCACATTTTACAGTTGTTTACAATTGCAATAACATACATGCAACATTAGGAAACTATTAAACAAAAAAACAAGAAATAAACAAAAACTGACGAAAACATAAATAACTTAGAAACATAACACTTAGGGGTCTGCTGTGTCTAAGTTGAAATGATGAAATAAGTTGATGGTCTTTAATAGTTTATTGTTCTTCTTTTTTAATTTTTCAATGCTCTTCCAATATCTCATAAGGTCTGTAATTCTGAAATTATAGAAGGAGGGGGTACTTTTCTGAAAAATCATTTTATGTAAATAACATTTTGCTAAAATAATGACTAAGTTAATGATGTATTTTTCATTGGATGATAAATGAGGGTTAGTAGCAATAAGAAGAATTTCATATTTGCTTAAAGAAACATTTTTTGTAACTTTCTGGAAATGTATCTTTGTAAATGGAACCAAAACAAAGTTACATGAAAGCAATCAACAGAAACATGTTCAATAGTTTCTCCCTTACAACCACAAAAAGTACAGATGTCAGAAACATTTGGAAAAAAAATACAGATGTTTGCTTTTGACGGGTAATATCTATACTGAAGTGATTACTCCTGCTTGTTGTGTTTACTGACGAAGTCACACGTGATTTTGCTAATGTTGCGTGACTTCGTGCTCGGTCGGTGACAGCTGCTCCCCTGCTGCTTCGCGTCTCGTGGGAAGGGCCAAGCAGCAGCATACGCGAGCAAGACGTGCTGCTGCGGTAAGTTGCTGCTGACGGCTCCAGTGGAAAGGAGGGGTTAGACAACTTAGCTCCTAAGTTCATTATGACCCTCAAGGTGGCAGCCCAGAGAAGGCTATCATTGGTCATTGTATGAATGTTAAAGAGAGACTGCACACCATCAGAAAATGTAACTCCACCCCTAGTCAAGATTTGAAAAATGCTATGAAAGTGGGCGTTGTCAGTATGCACAGAGTGGCCAAATGTGGAGAATTTCCATCCTAGGAGAGAGGGGAGTGGGAGGAGACTGTACCGATGATGTGAAATTGTTCCAGCCCCAGTCAATCACAAGATTAAAATGCTGTAGCCGCTGTTCTGCCACGGGGACAGCACTAAGACGTTTTCTAGATTTAATCAAGTTTATACAAACATGTCAAAAATGCACAGAAAGATTGCATTTGTAAAGGCCCAATTATACAGTTTATTAGCTAAATAAATTGTTATTTTGGGGGTTTAGTTAGTCTTTAAAAAGATGTGCTGTGGTAACTAAACATCAAAATAATGCTACAAATGATACAGTGATAGTGAATTGCCCAGCCTTCATCACAACTCAGTTTTTTGTTTTGTTTGTCAAACTATTGTTATTAAATACTAACTGAACTAACTCAGCTAACTTATTATAACTGCATTCTCTACCAAAACCACGTTTCCATTACAGCCATGAAGCAATAATTTCCATGAGTCAAGGCCATCTCTGCCAAGCTGTTGGCCCTGTCTCTGCATTGCAAACTGCTCCAAATAATTTCAAAGGCAGCGCTATTCTATGTCCGCCTGCTTTGTAATTGTCTCCTCCGGTGTTACGATGAGCAAGCACTTGCAAGCAGCACATACTGCAGGCGGTGTGAGGTTCCTGGTAAATGATGCCTCGGGCCATTTCCCAGTCAAATGAAGGTTAGGCCACTCTCCTTAGGTGGATTTACTTCACTGTTGTTTGTTAGGCAGTCATCCATGGTGTGGAGCCTCCCTTAAAACATATACTGAGAAGGAACAGATGGCCATCTCTACCCGGAGATGCCACCACCATGACACAATGTACACAGTAAGGCCGTTCAGAAGTAATAATTAGAGCCAGGTTCATTCCGCCTCTTGGTTATTATGCTAAGAAACATCATAATAAGTCAGAATTCAGATTTAAGACAATTTGTTGTGTTTCTATTTTGTGTGTATGCAATAATCACGACAGGCAAATCACTGCAAAAACTAATTTCTAAGGTTTTAAATGCCTCATTATTACACATTTTATCTTATTTTTAAATAATCTTAAAGGTAATGTGGAGGATCATTTTCTTCTGGGTGGATAATCTGTCTATAATCGTCAATTATTCTGGTGAATCATTCACACAAGTCCAATGTTGTACGAGCTTGTTGCTCGTTAGTTTTCATTTCCTGCACATGCACACTACAGAAGCCTGGTTCCAAGCCTTTCAAGCCCTGATTTTCTGCTTGACAAGTAAACTTAAGTTCGGCATGCTATTTGGAGAAATTTCTTACAGATTACTGCTAGAAGAAGTTAGCTGCTAGGCCGGCAGCAACTTGTAAACAGAGTGAGCACGAGGATAACGGGACGTTCTCTCTCATGTGCATTTTTTTTTTTCAAAAAGTGCAGAGCATTGTTCTTTCCTGAAATTCAGAAACATCCTCCGCATACCTTTAAATATGGTCCAAAGCTTCTTGTTTTGAGTGAAAAGGAATCTGCCAATGGGGTAAGCAAAAGTTTCTTTACTAGAATTCATAAAACTAGCTAATAAATGGAATTTCATGTCATTTTGCTAGTTTTAAGAATTCTAGCCAAGAAACTTGCTTACCCCATGGGCAGATTCTTTTTTACTCAAAACAAGAAACTTTACCGTATTGTAGGAACTGATATTTTTCTAGAGAATTTTTTCTTTTCTTTTTACTAGTGATGTGTCGGTCGCGAACGAACTGGCTCTAAGAGCCGGCTCTTTGAAGTGAACGACGGGAGCCGGCTCGTCATTGGGAGCTGTCCCCTCCCCTCCCCCCTCCCCCCCCTGCCTTGGTGAAAGCTACAGGCGATTGGTCAACATGTGTAACTGTGTGTCCAGACTGTCCACACACAGAGCAGAAGGGGCAGGGAAGAGGGAGGATCATACTCAGACAGACACACAGCAGAGCACATGGGGGAGGAGGGAGACGAGAGGGAATGAGGAGGAGGAAAAAGGCGAGCGAGAGGGAGGAGAGCACGACGAAGACGGTGAGAAAATGAGCGCCAGCAGTCGGAAAGTGGAGATTTCTTAGTGTTCAGTTATTAAATCCATAGAAATGATAAATATTTGATATATTGCTTTTTTTACATTAGTAAATTATTTTACATATAGTTTAGCATTATTTTGGTTATAAATGTACTCTACGCAACAGAAAATCTGAGGAGCCACTTGGGAGCCGAAAGAGCCGGCTCTTTTTGGTGAGCTGAGCCAAAAGATAACTCTCTTTTTAGAGAGCCGGAATTCCCATCACTACTTTTTACACATAAAACAAGATGAAATGTCTAAAAATTAGGCTTTTTTCCCATAAAATTTCTTAGAAGTCATTTTTTACAGTGTATTGGGACAAGTGCCAAAGAGTTTCATTTCTAATTTGGTGCTAAAACACAACATTTTTTTTGTCTTTATCTTATTTTGCTATTTAAACACATAAACAAAACAAGAACATAAGCAATCTTATTTTCTCGTGACAGGTGTCAGAACAGGTGGAGGGCACTCTGCCCATGCCGAACCTCCCATCTGTTGCAGTCAGTCTCAGTTTCGTGCCACGGCATACGGCATACGGTACACCGAACACTGACACAAACTCAGCTGGAACAATGAAATGAGCTAATGCTCCTAAGATGAAAGTGAGATTCAATTAAATTCAATTCAAATTCAAAGATACTTTATGAATCCCAGAGGGATGCTTATACTTTATTAGTCCCAAAGGGGAATTAGATAGGGACTATGGGGCTGATAGATTCACTAATATGTTTCCATAAGAGGCATGTGTGAAATATTCTAGCAATTGTATAAACTGAGACTGGTCATAAACACACCTTCAGAGGACCCAGACAGGGAAACATGTATTTAATAAAGTAGAAAACAATCACACAAATGCAAACTGTACAATAATTGTGTTGAATTAATAATAATTTTTCTTATTTAAAGAGTTAGTTTTATTCATGACGAGCAGAGGTAAATCAAGTCAACACGAGGAAACAGGGTCAAATATAGACAACCTGAAGCTAGAACCTCTTTGGTCGTGAGCCAAATGTGGGTGTTTCTCAATGCCGAGTAACCTTGCCTTGATGTCTTGGCCCCGTCCCGGTTGCATAGGAGATGCGTCATCAGGAGCCGCCAGGGCGTGTTACAGTGTTCGTGTTCTACCAAGGTGTCTGTTCTCCGTTTGTTAGCCGTTTAGCTAGCTGAGCAAGGATACACGAGAGGTGCCTTGTAGCCTAGCCTTGGTCAAAAATTACCCAGAATACACTGCAGTATTTTCAAAAGGATGGTGGGTCAGAAGCCAGCAGCTACTTCGGGGCAAATTTCAAGTTTAAAAGTAAGTCAACTAATTTAAAATGTTTTTTGTATATCCAAAGAAGTTATCTATGGTTAGTTGCTTATTAGTTGCAGCTTCGGTGGCTAGCGGGTAGTAACTCACTTATATATTTTATTTAACAAATATATACACAATTTAAAAAGTAAAAAGCTCATTATATATTTATATTGAAACTAATACGTATAAAATAAAACATTATCTCCCGTGTCACGTGACGTTACGTGACTGCCGTGGAAGCCGCAGTAACGTGATACAAGTCTGTTCCATTTCACCGTTTTCTTTGACCAAGGAAGGACAGCGTCCTTGTAAGTAAGGCGCCTGGCCTTGCAAGACATCACCTCGCAAGGCCAGACGCCTTGACATTGAGAAACACCCATACTTTCAGGTGCACAGACATTTTGGGAGCCTAAGTCATGCCCATCTACTTCCGGACCATAGGTCCCTGAAATAAATGGAAAAATGAATGCAAGTCAACAGGCTAAAAACGCTATTTTCTAATTCCGTGTTATGTTTCATGGATTTCACATATGATGTCCGTGAATTTTAAATGTGCATTTTGATACCAAGAACACATTTATTTTTGAATGGGGGGGGAAACGCTATTTTAGGTTCTGTGTGAAAATAAGTTCAGGACTACAAATGTGCACCACAAAAGTGACGTCATCGGACTAGGCATGGAGAAAAACAGAGGGAAAATGGCTGTAAGTTCAGCAAACTTTAAATCCTTCCCACAGGAGGAAAGAACCACCATAAATCTGGCCATGTGGTAAGTAGAAGCTACACTAGGGGAGAGGAGATTATGTGGTGACGTTACATATGCGACGTGCTGATGTAGTCGGTCAAATTACAAACTTTTACAAGCTGATAAATCTCAAAGTACGTGACAGGCGTGGTCAAAACACCCATCAATAGTTTTCATTTAAATTGCAGTACAACATATGTGCGATCCAGGGTCTAAGGCAAATCGGATTAGAAAATAGCGTTTTTAGCCCTGTTGACTTGCATTCACTTTTTCGTTCGTCCGGGGACCCATGAACTGACCGGAAAGGGAGGAGACTTAGGCTCCCTATATGCGTAGATGCCCCGTGGACTGGCGCTTCCTGTTGAAGCTGCTGTAGTGACCGGCCGCCATCTTTGATGGGTCTCCATTTGGCCCAAGTGCATTTCTCCTGAGGAAGGTGTTTATCCAACTAAAAAACAAACTTCATTACGTCTTCCCACATCAGACACATGGTATGGCGTGATAGTTAAAATATAAATATAATTAAATTAAATAATATTAAAAAATTTAAATATAAAATCCCAACAGGAAGGCTTGGAAAAGTCCTTCATGATCTGTTTTCAATAGTGCGCCGGTTGTTGCAACCGTAGGTTGTACAAATTACAGGCATAGTTGGGAGAGTGAGGACACCCATCCAATATGGTGGTAACGCTGTTACGCTCTACAGTGCCCAATGGGGTCTATGGTCAGATGAGGGAATTAGTAAATTAAAAGACTTGCCTTTCAGCTCAGCTCTGTCTTGGTCCATCATCCTCCCACCACAAGATACCAAAACATAATCCAGAATTCTACCTTTTTCCAGAAGTAAATTATGGGGTCATCACACTGGTTTCATTATTAAAATTTTATTTATGATATGTTTCCTCTTCCTGTAACTTCTTTCAGTCATGGATTTTCCCCTAACTCTAGCTCACCTAGACTTTTTCCTCAAAAACAAGGAAATGGGCCGTTCAAAGACAGAAATGCAACAGAAGGTTGCATGACACTATTCTGCCTCTCACATTGAACGATGATCCTATCAGATAATTAGAGCAACATAACCTTCTGGAGCAATGTTTAGTTCAAATATATATATATATGTGTGTGTGTGTGTGTGTGTGTGTGTGTGTGTGTGTGTGTGTGTGTGTGTGTGTGTGTGTGTGTGTGTGTGTGTGAAAACTAGAACACTTTTCTATCTGGGCCCCTGAAATAGAAATCTATGAAATAGCGCAGTTAGATATAAAATCTCAATTAAAAAACTGCTTCCTAAAATTTACCATTGTTTTTAACAAAAAAGATAGAATAAATAGGAAAATTCTAAACAATTCAAAGTCACCATAAGGACAGTTTAATTCTCCCTGTTTTTATTTTATTTATTTATTTCTTTGGTTCATTGAATTTATTGGTTAATTTGGAGCTTCTAAAAGAGTTTCAGCAAAACAGCCTGATGGAATAATTTGTATTAAGACTTTTTCAGAAGAATTAATCTATAATATTTACAATAAAGCTGAATATTTTTCTTTCCAGAAAAGGTGTTCTTTTCTCGCCCAGCATGAAACGTAATTAAAAACAAATCAGTCAGACTCAAAAACACATTTCTTTGTTTTAGAACCAGTGTGTTGGACTTTCTATCTTTGGTCCATTCAAAGTGATTTTAACTGGCATCTATGACCTGCTTGATTTAAACATTTTCACTCTTGAATGAAATAAAAAAATGTCACTCACATTTCACATTTTAGAAGTATCAGCCCTGACACACATGTTTATCCTTAAATAACATCAAGTATAGCAGACGTTAATGGTCTGTGTCAGACTTCAACAGTAACAGTGCAGAATCAGGTTTTGTACCCAACAGGTCTCCTTCATCCCTTGTGCAAAGTAGGGCAACAAAACATGGAGCGTCAGGCTTTAGAGACAAAAACTTGAAGCAATAAAGCCAAATGGAAGTTTTCCATTGTTTAAACAGCCTCTCAAGTTTCCACCAAGTAATTAGTTCAGCAAACTCTGACTGGGGGATTCGGGAACGTGTCTGATCACATCGTAGATGGTGGTGTGCATGTCTTGTATCGACTCAAGCCGAGCAAGAGATCTGCATGACGCCTAGGGGAAAAGTTATGTGTTGGAAATTTTTAGGAAATTAATGTGAAAATGTTTCTTCTATAAATTTGCATTTTAGTGCACAAACTATACCTGAGTAGACTCCATTTTGCCTGGTATGGAAACAAACTCATAGATGCCAAAGTCCTCTGATGCATCTTCATGACCTGCTGATGCACATGTTTCAGTGTTAGACCAACATTTGGATTATGCCATAACACCAGAAGATCCGGGCCTGCTTCTCAAAAAACACCATACATTCATTTCCCTTTATACTTTATGTTTCTCCCAGTTCAAACCTGTTTTTCTGCATCAACTTAGACTAAATCCAGAGCCATAGTCATCCTTTCCTTCATGCAACATTACGATGTAATCTTAGATGTGTTAAAATGTTAATGCAGGAACAATGAGGGAAGGTTACAGCATCTATGTGGCAGTGTCAAATTTACCTGAGCGATGTGGTCGTTTCTGCTCAGAAAATGGTCTAAAAAAAAGTTATGTTAAACATAATTTTAAAAAAAATTCCACGTTATTTGTCTTTTTTGATTGAGACATACCTGTTGTAAATGCTCATGAGAACTGTTGATGTGAAAACAACAGAAATACACAATTATCCACCAATTCAAAACTGGCATTATATTCAAATGCAGAAGTTACTTTGCTCCATCTTATCTTCACTTTGGCTAAAATTTTCTAGTTATTTACGTTTCTGAGCAACTTCATCATGTGAGTAAACCAACATGGCAGACAAACGTTGTCATTTTACAGATTTTAGTATCACATTTCAACTCAAATCTCCACACTGGAACCTTGGAGGTGTTGAACGGAGTTTAGAATTTGTTCTTGAACTTCTTCAGGAAGCCCCTCATGTCAAGACCAAGAGAATGAGTGTCTAACCTCTTTTAGGATGACACGTTCTCCTGATGAAGAACAGCAGCACACAGCTAATGATGAACAGAGAGCAGACAGCGATGACTGCTACTGGAGACACAGAGACACCATCTTGGGTGTGTTTTTCTTTCCCTGTCAATACAAAACATCATCAGATGTGATCTGAACATAAATTAAGTAAAACAGCATCAATTGCAGTTGGTTCCCTAGTTTGGTGGGAACCAACATTCTTTGTTGTCCTGTTTCTGGATTCTCGTAAAAACGTGAATAAACAAAGATAAGACGTTTCAGTTGTCGGTGTCTCTCAAGTTGAATGAAATGAAAATGTGCTAACATGTGGCATTTAGCTGAGTCTTCCAGTGCTACTCATTCCAACAGAAATCAGAAGTTATAATGTTTATCATGTTGTATTTAAATCTGGTTATTAGTACACAGGATATGTTCTACTTATATGTGACTATAAGGATTCTGAAATTGTGTCCGTTATGAACATGTCCTTAAAGACCAAGTTCACTTTTTTTCAGTACATTTGCTCTAGTAAAGCCACACTAGGGGTTGTATGAACTAGCCGACTAGTTGACTTCACTGCTCTGTAGTGACTTTTTATGACTGTCATCGACTAGTCGCTGTCACGTGATAATGAGCGACAAGATGCAGTCCTCGGAAAAGACAGCAGGTGATGAGCCCCTGCGCGTTGGGATGCAACGCGCTGTGCCAGAGCGTTGGTACTGACACCCGCGGTAAAACGGACATTTAACAAAATTGTGACCTTTACCCTCTTGCAATTTCACCTTCCCCTCACCCCCATCCTAACCTTAACCAGCTTGCGCAAGCAAAGCTCTGATCGTTGACGCGCTCCAGACATCTGCGTCCTGAGCACGGCCACAGTAACATTATCAAATCAGGTTTCACCACCTCAAAAACTAATTTAACACGCGATCGTTCATGTCTGCTCATTTCCTTTTATGTTTTCTGTCTTTTATTTGTGCCTGATGCTTTTCGCTGTTGTGGAGCGGAGCGCATCACCTGTTTTGTCCTCCGGTGACGCACCTCACCGATGCGGCCGGCGAGCAGCGCGCACTCCGCTGTTTTTGCGGTCGGTAGATCTTTTAGAACTGCAGTTCAAAGGTAACTCATAAGGTGAATATATATGAACCCAGGTAGGAGTTTTTCTTTAGGATTGAGAGGAGATACAGGAAGATAATAAACAGGCAGGACAGAAAAATAGTCAAATAAAAACAGCTTTGTTTTTGTACCTGGCTGCAACAAACAGACACCATTGAAGGAAATCAGAAGTGAGGAACAGAAAATGAAATAATTATTTGAATGTTTAGAGCAGCAGGAACTCTGAGAGGCTGCAGGCGCATCAATGAGTTTGCGGCCGCTGCGCAGGGGGAGGGGGGAGAGGGCTGAAGCTGAGTAGTATAGATGCAGAAAATACCGTTGTTAAAAGAGATGTGTTTAACTTTGAAAATCTAGGCGCAATTTTAATTGTCAAAAGCTCCAGCAACACCCCCCCCCCCCCCCCCCCCCCCCCCCCGCGGCGCTGCTTCAGGTGTATGACGTCATCAACGACTAGTCAAAGTTGACTCGATTTTCATTACTTGACTGTCGACTTTAAAAAAAATTAAGTCATGCAGCCCCTAAGCCACGCTCATCTACTTCCAAACCATGGGTTCCTCAAAATAAGAAAAAGTAATGCATGTCCATCCATCAATCCATTTTCCTCTGCATATCCGGGGTCGGGTCGCAAGGAAAGTCACTAAGCAGAGAGGCCCTGACTTCCTTCTCCTCAACCACTTGAACCAGCTCCTCTGGGGGATCCCAAGGTGTTCCCTGGCCAGCCGAGAAACATTGGTCTTCCTTTAGGTCTCCTCCTAATAGGACGTCCCTGGAAAAACCTCACCAGGGATGTGTCCAGGAGCCATCCTAACCAGATGCCCGAGCCAGCTCAACTGACTCCTCTTGATGTGGAGGAGCATCAGATCTACGCCGAGCCCCTCCCGGATGACCTAGCTTGTCACCCTATCTCAAAGGGAGAGCCCAGACACGCAGTGGAGAAAACTAATTTTGGCTGAATACAAGTCAAAGTGGTTATCAAAGCTGCTTTCTAATCCACTTTGCTTTACACCCTGACTCACACATACTGTATGTTGTACTTCAATTTAAGTTAAAGCAGTTATGTGTGTTTCGACTTTTTTTGTCACATAATTTAAGATATATTAGCTTGTAAAAATTTGTGATTGAAATGGCTACAAATCAGTCGTTGCATGACATCACTGCAGAATCTCTTCTCCCCTGCTAACTACCACATGGCCAGATTTATAGTGTTTTCTCCACTTTTAATTCTCCATTCATCCTGGAAGAAGGATTCAAAGCTCGCTAAACTAATCTTTCCTCTTCTCTGTAGTTCGATTTTGTCGATTTGGTGAGACAAACATTTGTAGTCCTGCACACCTTTTAACACAAAACCTAAAATGGTTTAGGATCTGTGTGGGGACAAAAGCTCTGGTGCTCCTGTTTCAGGAAGCAAAAGTTAGAAAAAGGAGTTGGGAGCAGAAGACGGCAGGTTTTGTAGTCCTTTCTTGATTTTGGACATCTCGCTGTTATGTATAGTAGGTAGGAAGCAGGAAGCAGTTTCTTCATCCAATTGGAACTTATAAGAGAGACGAACAGGCTTGCACGGCATCCATTTTGCTTTTCTCAAATTCCTCTGAACTTCTTTATCTCGGCATCAGCCTAAACTGCTCCCACTGTTCAGAACCCAACACCCACCTCTGAATGGCCTACAGCAAAGTGACTCTACCACTGACTACGTTTGCTTTGCAATGTTGATGTTTTATCTCCACAAATAAAATAAAAAAACCTGAAGGAGTGTTGCCGTGTGGTGCAAGTGCTAATGGCAAGTGGGATGAAAACCAGTTAATTGAGTCCATGAATGCAAAATTTCATTGTGACGTGAGCCTGAAGCTGATACAAGAAGTAGGGTTGGAAGACCAATTTTACATTTAGCCTGCATAAACTAGTTATTTAACAAATAACAAGTAAAAAAATGTTTCTCAGTAAACTTGGCTTATTTCTCAATACCAAAGTGTACTAGTACATGCTTGCGTACTTGACAAGTAGGTTCTTTGCAAGTACAGCTTGAAGTCCGTTTTACTGAGTACGGAAGGTTGAGGACAGCACTGGGAACAGAACCAAACTCTGTTACGTCATGGCAAGCGCTGATTTATGCTGCGATTAAAAAAATGACCTGAAATAAAAGTAAAACTCTAGTTTGTCCCTTAAATAACAAAATAACAATGAATACATTATATTTATATAATATTTGGTTCACTTCATATTTAAATTGATAAAATACCAGCATTTCCTACCATTAAATGAAGAAAAAAGTTTTATCAAAAGCTATTTAAGGCAATGCTCCTTTTGCTCTGAGAGTGGGTTAGCTTATTAGCATTTTGTGGTATCGTGAAGAAGAAGAAAAAAAAAAAAATATATATATATATATATATAATAGACAACCTTATATTTATTTGTATTTTATTAAAACACTCCAGTTCTGAGCTCTCTCCTCTGCCATTTACCGTTAGGGTTTGTAATAAAATGCATTATGGGATATCCTGCTAGCTAGGGCTGGGCGATATGACGATTTTAGACCGTTTTACGATCTACACATCTGACGGTCTGTCATTTTTGAGAGACCGTTTCATCACGATTCACAGCTCTGCTGTTGAATTTCTGCCTCTGAATGAAAAGGGAACTTACCTCAGGCGAATGACACGCCTTTGTTTGACCCTTAACCAATCAGAGTGAGTCATAGTAATATATTAGTGCCCCGCTTGTTTTCATTTGTGTGTGAACAAACATGGCTTCGCCGCGACTGAGCGACAACGAGGTTTTCGTTCCGAAGAGGAACGCAGGGTTTCCTTAGCGCGCGGCGCTAACAACTTAGCGACGTGACATGTCTCAGAGAAAGCGTAAAAACACGTTGGACGCTTCTTCTGAAGCAGGAAAATAACACCGCTTCTTAAGCAGAGCACGACGTCGCCTCGGCTCGTTCACCCTCTGCCGAGCCGGTGTCGGTACCGGACTGAGCTCGGTCACTGGGTCGTTGGAGCTGCCCCGTGACTGCCTGATGGAAAACCGGCGGGTTTCATCAGACTCGTAGTTTCTTGTTCTTGCTGGGGACCCCCTGTATTTTACCGCTCCCTCCTGCAGTCTTCCCCTATTAACATTTAAAATGATTCTGTAAACTCCGTGTATCGATAGAAACAATCTCTGCCTCTGCCAGCTGCAGTAAATGTAGTTTCCAAATAATAAGAGGTGCATTCATCTGTGTATCTCCTTTGATCCGCATTAGTGATATTCTCAGCACCAGAACAGTGAAGCAAAGAAAGATTCCTGAGTTTGTTAGTAATTTTATTTATTAGGTGCATCTAACCTGTTCTATTTTTCTCTGAAATGAGATCAAATCAGTGCTTCTATGGGTTGTCTCCAATCTGCACTGGAAAATTTTACTTTATTTAGAGACTTGTTGCAGAAAATATTCAGAATGCGTAGTTATTTGCTACCACAAGCGATCTCTGGTCCAGCCGCACATCAGAGCCGTATTTGAGCTTAACTATCCACTACATGAGCAACTGGGAGCTACATAGTATTTTGAACAAGTTAATGTTTGCACACTACGTTTGCAATTGACATGTTTGCACTTTAAATATGTTTACGATTTTAATTTATGTTAAGTTACTTGAAAAACGAGAAAAACTGATTTTTGTAATTGTTTCTCTCAGGGCTTTTATCATCTCTGGTGTGAGTTTAAAATATAAGTGTGTTAGCACTGTGCTGATTATCCCTAATATGAATAAATGTTTATTTATTCAATGTTTCTCTTCTTTAATACGCAATTGAAGTTATGCTATTCATGGATAAAAAATCGTGATAAAATCGAAATCGTGATAAAATATTGGAAAAATCGTGATATTCTATTTTTGCCATATCGCCCAGCCCTACTGCTAGCCCAAGTCTGCAGAAGTACGTGTTGATGCATCCTCAATACAATGGGTGGAAAAGGAACACATCTGGGAACTTTGAGCATACTTGCCTTGATACGTACATGGAACAGTACTTGGACCAACGATGATGATGTGTCACAAGGGCATGAAGACACAAGTCCAGACAGGTACTACATTCAGGCCCCGCCCCGCCCCTCCCATCTAATTTCTTCTTCTGTAGTACCCATTCATTAGAAATTCCTTTAATAATTCTAATTTTTCCTTTATATTGTTGGGGAGGTGAATGCGATTTTTGCATTTTAAATTTCTGATTCCACCAATAATATTTTAACATTTCTATGTGCTAGTGTGGATATTTATCCACTGCTGCTTGGAACGTGGTGCTGATTATAGCTTCAACTCCACAGGAAGTCACCCTGACTTTGTTTATGTTTTCATTACCTTCAGAACCAGAGTGGCCAGTTTTACATGGTTTGCCGTATCATTGGGTATGTGACCATTTATGTTTATATTTTCCATGTTTAACACAAATATGCATCTATAGATGGACTGGAGCAGCAAGTACGTGATGTGGTTTTAGTCATTGCTTATGGTTTTGTCCTAAAGTCTACTGTGACTCCTCCGTTTTGTAACTAACGCAAAAAAGAAAGCCACTTGTCTTTGCTAGCTTTAGCTTTATAACATGGTTTCTGCCACAGTTTCATGTTCTGAGTGTCAAATGTTGTTTTTGTGTGTTGTTGGCATTTCTTGCTTAATCTTTATTAGTTCTTGGTGTTATGTCTTTGTTTTTATTTGGTTTCTTTATTCTGCTGCTCATTTCACCCAAGTGTCAGCCAAAGACCCGACTCTTCAGTATTAATACAACCTGCCCTAATAGTTCTGCATTTCCTCATCTCATTATCACCTCATTTAACCTTTTTCATGTTTCATGTTTCCTGGTTCCCTGGGGATCTCTGTGTACTTTTTTTATTTGTGCTTGTCGTTTTCTTTAAAGACTACCTGTTGTTTTTATATACATTTACAGTTGTTATTGAATGCTTTGTGAGCCATTTTCTGTGGAAAAAATCTATTACGCTACCGTTTATAGAGAACGAAAAGTACTAAAGCACAGCACAATATGGAGTCTTATTTCCTGACATTTGGACATCTCTGCTCTGATTGGCCAACAGCAAAGTGACTCTGCCCCTGACTCTGTTTGCTTTGCAGCATTGATGATTTATCTCCACAAATATCACAAGCCTGAAAGAGTTCTGCCATATTGTGGAGTTGCTCATGCTAATGGTTAGCTTGTACTTGTCATGACTCCCAGTCTTACACCCTCCTCTGCCTCTGCTGCCTCCTCAATCAAGCCCTCAGCCACTTAATTACCATCACCTGCACCCTGTCATCAGCTCATCTCACTCACCTGCTCCCCCTGCTATATATCCACCAGCCAGCCACCAGTTCCCTGCCAGTTTATTGAACACTTCTTGCTAGTAGATCTTCCAGCCTTGCACCTTGCCTGATCACAGCCTCTGGACCTCGTTTTCACGCCTGACCCCTGCCTAGGACTCTGCCTGCCATCTGCCTTTGCCTGTCTTTGACCCCTTCTCTAGCCTGCTCCATTTACCTGCTTCGCCTCGTTCTGGTTTTTGACCCACACTTCCTCTCCGACTCTGTCTCCAGCCTCGCCCTCCTCCTGTAACGCCACATCCAGTAAAGACTTTTTAAGGAACTTTACTGTTTGGTGTCATCATGGGTCTTCCAAGTTCTGGTCGTAACAGTACTAGCTTTATCTGTTTGCGGCTAGTGTCGGAAATAGGGGTAGAAGACTATTGGCACATCTAGCCTGACCATTATTCAAAAATAACAAGTAAAAACAGTTGCCCAGTGAACTTGTTCTTTAAGTATTGTTTAACTCAGTTCAGCCCTTGTTGCCTCTCAGGCCCTGTCCACACGTAGCCGGGGATCTGCCAAAGCGTAGATATTTTTCTACGTTTTGGCCTGTCATCCACACGAAAACGGAGATTTTCACATGAAAATTGATCTTTTTAAAAACTCCGGCCAAAGTGAAGATCTGCGTTTTCTCCGTTTTGGGTGTCTGCGTGTGGACAGACAAAACTGAAGTTTTAAGGTCTGCACCGTCACTTTCCGCGACAAAAAAGTGCTGACATCACGTGTGTGACCTGCGTTTACACTAGCCGACAGCATGGATGCCTCAGAGCTGCGCTCGCTTTATCAATTGTCCAAGCGCTTTTTGCTTGTTTGTTTTTGCAAGCGGAATTACTGCTCCTTGCGGAAGACCACAGACGAAAGACGAGGTTAAGAACGGGGGAAGTGCTGCCGCCTACAGGTCTGGCATGTCCTTAACAACGTATTTATCCGGGTACGTGTGGACAGAGTTTTTTTTTAAACAAGGTGGTGTGGATGCAAGTTTTTGTTGGGGCGGATATTCGTTTTAAAAAAAACTGGCTACGTGTGGATAAGGCCTCATTTTCTACATGAACATGCTTGTTTGTTACTTCATGATTGATTTGACTCAATTTTACTTTAATAAATAAAACACATTAAAGATACTTTCTGTCCTTGCTAAACACAGTCTCTGTGATTCTGCTAACAGGAAACCACAGCTATAAAAATGTGTGCACCTGCTGCCTCCGTTCTGCATCTTTCCACCTAAAACAAACAAGATAGGAATCTTCATGCTAACAAAAGTACAGCAGGATTTAAACACGGTGAACACCTTAAACAAAAATAAAACCTACCAAAGAATAGTCGGGTCAACTTTTGCATTTTGGAAAATAAAATAAAAAAACATGGCTTAACACCCAAACTCACTTTTAGAAAATATTCTGTTAAACCATTTGACACAACCACTGTTGATTCTCTGAACAGCATTTTAAAGCCAGTATCAGCAGCAATCATGTCTCTCTCAGTATCACCAAAACAACATATCAATTCAGCACACAGAAACTCTGCATGCTATAAAACTTAGTCAATAAATACAACAGCTGTCATCCATTGTTTACTTTCCCAGACACTGAACTCTGAAACGAGACGGCAGGCGCCAGAACCTAGCAACAGACACAAAACGACTCTGCAGGTAAATCAACTGTTCCCTAAACCAGCCACTCTTAGTCACGGAGAAAAATAATTTCTCCCTTTTTTTTGGCGCATCATTTTGTTTACAGTGTTTATCATATCAAAACCTACCCACTCTCTACCCCCTCTTGCCATGATCAACCACTACCCACCTGTTCCCAAGCTGGCCACCACCAGAGTAAACTGGGCCTCGTCCTGCTTCTGCGTCTCATTGTTGAAAGCACGACACAGGTACTCCTCGGCCTGGGCCAGTCTGTAGAGCTGGACCTCCAGCTGTGGGCCCTCTGTGATGATTTCACTCTCATTGTGACTCTTGGAGATCCAGACATAGCTGTTTGGTGGGTTGGAATCTGCTTGGCATTCCAGGAAGACCAGCTCTCCAGGGTTGATGGTGAGCACCTCTCCTGTGCGAAGGCCTTGGCCAGAGTTCACTTTCAGGTTGTATGGGCCATCTGTGTGTGGGTCGGAGAAACGTGACAGTTAGTTCCATCAAACACAACATGTTCTGAAAACATTAAAATGTTCTTATTTAAAAGCATAAAAGAGTTTAGTAGCAAAGATACATAATGAATCATATTATGTGAGACACCTTTGAGAAGGTTGGCAACCAAATAGTGAATTAAAATCAGACATAATTACATTACAGTATACCTTGTGGGTAAATTGTTTAAAACTTGAATGAAAATTGCTGACAACATCCTTAACAGAATGTGATAAAAAGGTGAATGAGTGAGTGACCTGAATCAGAATTAAACAGTAGTTAGACTGAGGGACCACACAAAGGGATTTGTTCAGCATCACAAAATTCTAGAAAAATCAACCTTTATGAAAACCATAGCTGATCACTGGATCTTTATCAGGCATTTACAGCATCTATGTGAGAGTCATGCTATAATGTTGGTCACACAATATTGGATTCACTCGGTGTCAGGTGTTTTAAGAGGTTTTTGTGTTTACTTGCTCAATAATCCAACATTATTGCTCAGTGCAGTCACACAAACACAGATTAGGTCAGTGTTTCCCTACTTGTTTTTACTTGTTTACCCTCCGAGACATTTCATCATGCCACAAGTACCCCCTGAGACAAATGCGTTGATGATTCTCCAAATGTAGAATGTACAGCTGATTATGAAATGAAAATCATTTAATTAAAAAAACACGTCTCATTTCCTGTCTGGCTCATGTGAATTCTTTAATTTTATAACAATCCTCATGCAACACCAAGAAAAAATAGACTTCATGCAAAAACTTTCCGGAGCACCACATTTGGATCCAGATCTGGATCCACACCACACCACAGCTGCTGTAAATACTCTGATTGGACTCAATGAGTTTTTTATTAGTGCAAAACTGGGCTGCATCCAACCCGCATGTGTGAACGAGGCTTCACTGCCTTTCTCAGTAGCAGAGTGTCATGCAGCTGTACAGTTCTGATCTGGTCTGGTCTTGTGGTTGTTGTAAGCCTTTTTTTGCTTTTTTCATTGATAAAAGCTGGATTTGTTAGTTATCTGGGTAGAAACGGGCCACACGGCCTAAAATCTTTAATGTGAAATATTATTTACTTCTGTTTATACATGTCAAAATTACTGTTTTTGAACATTCTCTCATACAAGATTAATTGTAGAACAAATACTTTTAACAAGTATAAAATGTCATTTAAAGGGGCTTTACGGAGTTTTGAATTTTTATGCTCGTGATTGCCCCCTCAGGCCAAAAGCGTAACGGCAGCTTCAATAGTAGGCTCGTGCACGAGGCGCGCATGCTGGTTTGGAAACAAGACATAGGACTTATGCCAGAGTTACTGGAGATAGAAACACAACTGAGGATGCTCCGCAGGAAGAACTCCAGTCACTAGAACAACAAGTGTTGAGCTTCTTGCACAGTAAGAACATTCATATCCAAAGTGATGCAATATCAATCTGTCATACCCTTCTGAGAAAGGCAGACAAATTAAAACCAGTCATCATAGTGCGATTTACCAGTAGGAAGTACAGAAATGAGTTGTTGAGGCAAGCAAAAAAACTGAAAGGTACAAATGTGTACATAAATGAACACCTGACGAAAAAGAATGAAACAATAGCCAAAGAAGCAAGGGTGCTGAGAAAACAAAAAAAATCACAGCCACGTGGACAAGAAATGGTGTTGTATGGATTAGAGAGCAAGAAGGTCTAAATGCAAAAATGATCAAAGAGTTGAAAGATCTGGAAGTGTTACAGGGTAAAAGATGATTTATTGTGTAGCACTGACTAAATAATGGATAGTGGAAACAGTTTAACAATGGATATGGAAGTACAAATGAATTCATAAAGAAATAAATGGATTCCCATGAGAAAATATATGAACTTGACAGTAAAATAGACGAAAGTTTATTTGAGTTAAATATAAATAGTAATTATTATGCAGAAGATCAGCTAAATAGTGGGTTAACTAACAATGATTCATTATCAATCATGCACATAAACAGTAGAAGTTTAGTTTCCAAGATGTCAACAATAAAGGACTATTTAGGTAAATTTAAAAGTAAATTCAAAGTCATTGCCATTACTGAGACTTGGCTTTATGATGAAAGGATGACTGAAGTACAAATAGAAGGGTATGAACTTCATTTTGTAAATAGAATAAATAAAAGGGGTGGTGGTGTTGCCCTGTACATTAACAATGATTTAAAATGTAAATTAGATAAGAAAATGACTATGATGGAAGATAATGTTATGGAAATGGTAACAGTGGAAATTATCAATGACACATCAAAAAATATAATAATCAGTTGTGTATATAGAGCACCCGGTTCTTGCATCAGGTCATTTAAAGATAAAATAAATGAGTTTGTGGATCATATTAAAAACAAAACATTGTTTATGTGTGGGGACTTTAACATTAACTTAGAACATCCTGTTGGACTGAGAACATCAAGTGATTTTTTTGATATGATATATAGTTTAGGGTTGGTTCCTTTGATAAACAAACCTACCAGGATCACAACCCAAAGTGCAACAATAATTGATAATATATTCACTAATAGAAAGGAGGACGTTGTAAAAACTGGGATATTGATGACAGATATTAGTGATCATTTACCTATTTTCGTAGTGTCTAAATATCACAATAACAATAAAAATATCATAAAACATAATTTTATTAATTATAAAAGAAATAAATCAGTTAAAGCCCTGGAGGACCTAAATAAAGATCTTAAAATGCAGAACTGGACGGAAGTCTATGTCAGTGATGTGAACAATGCATATACATCCTTCATGAAAATACTGCTGAAATCGTTTAACAGTAGTTGTAAATTAATTAAAATAACAGGTAAAAGGGACAACCAACCATGGATGACTAATGGAATTAAAAATGCATGTGCCAAAAAAAATAGTCTGTACATGAGATTCTTAAAGTTACAAACAAAGGAAGCTGAAGATGGATATAAAAAATATAAAAATAAATTAGTAACAATAATTAGAAAACAGAAGAAAGAGTACTATGGTGAGCTATTGAATAAGAACAAAGACAACATCAAGACTACATGGGGAATAATAAATAATGTGATTAACAGAGATAACACAAATGCAAGACTCCCAAAATACTTTGTAAAGGACAATAAAGACATTTATGAAGTTAAAGAAATTTCTAATGAATTCAATGATTTTTTTTATAAATGTAGGAAGGAGTCTGGTGGAAAGCAAACCAATAATTCACGATACAATGAATACAATACCTAGAAATGTCAATAGTATTCTCCTTGACAAAGTAGATCAACAAGAAATAAGAAACATTGTAAAAAACTGGGGAAGCAAAAGATCAACTGATTGTGATGATCTGGACATGGTGACTGTAAAAGCTATAATTGAATCTGTCATTGAACCATTCACTTACATCTGTAATCTGTTACTATCTACAGGAGTCTTCCCTGATTTAATGAAAATTGCCAAGGTGGTTCCATTATTTAAGAGCGGTGATAAACAGAGTTTCACTAATTACAGGCCAGTGTCACTGCTTCCACAGTTTTCCAAAATATTAGAAAAAGTGTTTGCATTAAGGTTGGACAAATTCATTGACGAAAATTCAATTTTAAATCATGAACAGTGTGGCTTTAGGACCAAACATTCAACAGCAATGGCAGTTATGGATTTAGTAGATAAAATTTCATCAGCAATTGACAATAAAAATCTTTTCATTAGTGTTTTTATTGACTTAAAAAAGGCATTTGATGTCATTGATCATTCAAGGTTACTTCTTAAATTACAACGCTATGGAATAAGAGGGGTGGCGCATCAATGGGTTAATAGTTATTTACGCAATAGAAAACAGTTTGTTCAAATGAATAATGCTAAATCTGAATTAAAAGATATTTATTATGGTGTGCCACAAGGGTCAGTCCTCGGACCTAAACTGTTCATATTGTTTATTAATAACCTGGTAAATGTGTCGAATTTACTTGGCACAGTTTTATTTGCGGATGATACTACATTGTTTTATTCAGGATTAAATATACATGAAGTAACTCAAGTGATAAACAGTGAATTGATTAAAGTTAAAAAATGGTTTGATATAAATAGACTGTCACTGAACCTGAACAAAACAAACTATATACTGTTTAATAACAAAAGAAGCTGTGATGTATCTTTAATGATAGATGGAATGGAAATTCAAAGGGTAAAAGAAACCAAATTTCTTGGAGTCATGTTCGATGAGAGTCTCACGTGGAAATCACATGTAGGTTATATAAAGGGGAAAATTGCCAAAGCCATAGGGGTATTATATAGAGTCAAGTTTCTACTAAATTTGTCGGGGTTGTTAACATTGTATCACTCACTGATTGAACCATATTTATTTTATTGTTTAGAAATTTGGGGAGCCACTTGCAAAACTTTTACACAACCATTGTTCATTTTGCAAAAAAGAGCATTGAGAATCATTAATAACAGTAACTATAGAGCTCACACTAATCAATTATTCATTAGATACAAAATACTGAAATTTCCTGACTTGGTAGAGTGGAAAATATTGCAAATAATGTACAGAGCGAATACGAGTAATCTACCAACTAATATTCAGAAAATGTTTCATAAGAGAGTAAGTGGGTACATGTTAAAAGGAACTGATGTCTTTGAGAAACCTAGATTCAGAACCAAAGTGAGGGAATGTAACATTTCTGTAAATGGTGTAAGATTGTGGAATGCCATTAACAAGGAATTTAAAGAATCAACAACACTTGCAATATTTAAAAAATGTATAAAATCTAATGTATTTAGTAATTATGAAAAGGAGAATTATAATGTCAAAGATTAGACGTGAAAATATTAGAAAGTGACTGAGGTTACACTGTGTTTGTTTGGCGGATAATTTTATTTCGTAAAAAGGGGCAGAAATCATAAGATTTTTTCTTCTATCTGCTCCTTTTCATTCAAATGTTTTTTTTCAATATGTTAATGTATGTTGTATTTGTTTGTGT